AGACACTCGTGAAACCAAGATTGCCCCTAAAAACTTGATTCTTGATGTTGGGACTAGCTCTGATTTGTCGGGATGCACAATTAGACCCAAATGAATAAACACATAGACGATGAACTTGGTTTGTTTGAGTCGAGTCTGTGCGATAGTATACTTTGCTAAAAAATCTTCCAGATATCCGTGAATGGCAATGTTCCTGTGATGGAGGTAATTTAGTATAGGCAACTCCTTCTGAATGTACTCCACTGCATGTGGTCGACAGTAATCTTACCGGACAGCGTCATTGGGACAAGATTCTGGCTCCTATAGCAGTACCATTCCTGCAAGCTATGAATGGCTTTAATGGTTGACCCTCTTTACTGCAAGACGACAACGCTAGGCTTCATAGGGTCAGGATTGTCACGGAATTCCTTAAGCAGCAGGGTGTAGAGCAGATGGAGAGGCAGCATGCTTGCCAGACCTCAACCCAAATGAGCATACCTGGGATGAACTTGGTCGACGTATGTACACACGCCATCCAGCAACAGTGGATCTCCCAGGACTCCACAGAGCTCTAGTAAAGGAATGGAATGTGATTCCGCAAGCTTTCTTTATGAACTTGATAGGGAGCATGAGAAAAAGGTGCACCTGTGTCTTGGACGCGCGAGGCGGGTACACAAGATATTGAATGACTGAGTGCTTCATGTTTGTCTTTTAATTTTGGGGGTTGGTCTATACATCTGATGTTTGCTAGTGCTGTCCGAACTTTTTGTCTGTATGTCACGATGTGTCATGTCATAAGCAATATGATGACACTCTTAGGTCATCCATATTTGAGTTCCGATGAAGATGCCTTGCTAAAGTGGATATTTCAACCATCTTACCCACCAAGTCATCAGAAGATGACATATCCCCCCGGCCCCCACATATTTCAAAGAACAAATCATCTGACAGTTACTTAAAGTCCAGCTTGACTTATTTAAAACTAAGTCCAAATCGTTTCCACGGAAATCATGAGAAATATAAATGCCAAAAATGTGTAAATAGCAAAAGGCACCATTTCAAAATATGCCTAATATATCTGCCAAGTTCTGTTGAAAGATACTGAACGCTTTTCGAGTTGTGCACCGGAAATGAAGCCAACCCTCCTTTTGGGACTAAGTCCTAATCATTTCAATGGAAACCTGGAAAAATAAATCTGCCAAAAATCTGCCAAATAACAAAAGGCACCACTTTGGCATCTGCCTCACATATCTGCCAAGTTTTGCTGAAAGATATTAAGAAGTTTTCCAGTTGTGCTCCGGAAACGAAACCCACCCATCCCTTTTGAGACTAAGTCCAAATCGTCGCCATGGAAACCAAAAAAAATATAAATCACAAAAATCTGTAAATAGCAAAAGGCACCAAATCAAGATCTGTTTCATATATCTGCCAAGTTTTGCTGGAAGATATTAAGAAGTTTTCGAGTTGTCCTCCGGAAACAAAGCCCACCCCTCCCTTTTGGGACTAAGTCTGAATCGTTTCCATGGAAACCAGGAAAAATAAAAATGCCAAAAATCTGCAAATAGCAAAAGGCACCACTTAAAGTTCTGTTTGATATATCTACCAAGTTTTGTTGAAAAATATTCAACGGTTCTTGAGTTATGCTCGGAAAACGAAACCCACCCCTCCCTTTTGGGACTAAGTCCGAATTGTTTCCATGAAAACTGGGAAAAATAAATATGCCAAAAATCTGCCAAATAGCAAAAGGCACCACATATCTGACAAGTTTTGCTGAAAGATATTAAGAAGTTTTCTAGTTGTGCTCTAGAAACGAAACCCACCCCTCCCTTTTGAGACTAAGTCCCAATCGTTTCCATGGAAACCGAGAAAATAATAAATCACAACAAGAAGACAAAGTCATCAATATCCCCCTTAATGGCAAAATACTCTTAGGCGTGTATATAGAAAAGTGGAAGGAGAGTATTGAAAGGTTTTTAAAGTTCTGCTCCAGAAAGCAGCACTATCACCAATTTCAGTCAAACTTGCTGCCATGGAAATGCCAAAAATATTTTATTCAGAATTCCCAAACTACCAAAAGGCACCAGTACACCACCAGACCAATCTATGTGCCAAGTTTGGTGAAGAAACATTGAACCGTTTTAGAGTTCTGCTCCGGAAAAGAGCACTACTACAATTTCAGGCTAAGTCAAACTTGTTGCCATGGAAATGCCAAAATTATTTTATTCAGAATTCCCAAACTACCAAAAGGCACCAGTACACCACCAGATCTATCCATGTGCCAAGTTTGGTGAAGAAATAGTGAACAGTTTTAGAGTTCTGCTCCGGAAAAGAGCACTACCACAATTTCAGGCTAAGTCAAACTTGTTGCCATGGAAACGTCAAAAATATTTTATTCAGAATTCCCAAACTACCAAAAGGCACCAGTACACCACCAGATCTATCTATGTGCCAAGTTTGGTGAAGAAATATTTAACGGTTTTAGAGTTCTGCTCCGGAAAAGAGCACTACCACCAATTTCAGTCTAAGTCGAACTTGTTGCCATGGAAACGACAAAAATATTTTTTTAAGAATTCCAAAACTACTAAAAGGCACCAGTACACCACCAGATCCATGTATGTGCCAAGTTTGGTGAAGAAATAAACCGTTTTAGATCTGCAAATAGACAAAGGGACCGGACCTTACGGATGGAGTCTGCCCCACATATCAGCCAGCGTTGCGAGGGGATAAAAATCAACAAATGAAAGATATCACTTTGAAGTCTGCCTCACATATCAGCCAAGTTTTGCTGAAAGATATTAAGAAGTTTTCGAGTTCGGGACTAAGTCTGAATCGTTTCCATGGAAACTGGGAAAAATATAAATTCCAAAAATCTGCAAATAGCAAAAGGCACCACTTAAGGATCTGTTTGATATATCTACCAAGTTTTGTTGAAAAATATTGAACGTTTTTTTAGTTATGCTCTGGAAACGAAGCCCACCCCCATTTAAGACTAAGTCAAAAACGTTTCCATGAAAAGCGAGAAAAATAAAAATGACAAAAATCTGTAAATAGCAAAAGTAGCATATATCTACCAATTTTCGTTGAAACATATTGAACGGTTTTTGAGTTATGCTCTGGAAACAAAATGATTACGGAAGGACGGACGGACAGACGGACGAGGCGTCGACCATATCCACCGGATACATGCCGGAGGGATAAAAAGTAACAAATGTAAAGGTTTATGGACACTGAAGTATGAAGGCAAGGGGAAGTAAAAATGTATATAACAATTGCATGACAATAAAAGTCACATTAGGGACTGACTGACTGACTGAGTTTGGTTTTACGCCGCTTTTAGCAATATTCCAGCAACATCACGGCAGGGGACACCAGAAATGGGCTTCACACATTGTACCCATGTGGGGATTCGAACCCGGGTCTTCGGCGTGACGAGCCAACGCTTTAACCATAGGCTACCCCACCGCCCCCACATTATGGGAACAAAACAAGTTGAATGACAACCTTTAATACATTGCTAAGATAAAAAAACAAGAGTCATCAGAAGATGACATATCCCCCCGGCCCCCACATCTTTGAAAGAACAAATCATCTGACAGTTACTTAAAGTCCAGCTTGATTTTAGACTAAGTGCAAATCGTTTCCATGGAAATCATGAAAAAAATAAATGACAAAAATCTGCAAATAGCAAAAGGCATCACTTTGGGATCTGCCTCACATATCTGCCAAGTTTTGCTGAAAGATATTAAGAAGTTTTCGCGTTGTGCTCAGGAAACAAAACCTACCCCTCCCTTTTGAGACTAAGTCCAAATTGTTTCCATGGAAACTGAGAAAATAATAAATCACAAATATCTGCAAATAGCAAAAGGCACCACTTTGGCATCAGCCTCATATCTGCCAAGTTTTGCTGAAAGATATAGAGAAGTTTTTGAGTTGTGCTCCGGGAACAAGCCCACCCCTCACTTTTGGGACTAAGTCCGAATCGTTTCCATGGAAACCGGGAAAAATAAAAATGCCAAAAATCTGCAAATAGCAAAAGGCACAACTTTAGCATCTGTTTGATATATCTACTAAGTTTTGTTGAAATATATTGAACGGTTCTTGAGTTATGCTTCGGAAACGAAAGCAATCCTTACTTTTTGAGACTGTTTCCATGGAAACCGGGAAAAAATAAAATGCCAAAAATCTGCAAATAGCAAAAGGCACAACTTTAGGATCTGTTTGATATATCTACCAAGTTTTGTTGAAAAATATTCAACGGTTCTTGAGTTATGCTCCGGAAACGAAAGCAATCCTTACTTTTTGAGACTAAGTCCAAAATGTTTCCATTGAAACCAGGAAAAATAAAAATGCCAAAAATCTGCAAATAGCAAAAGGTACAACTTTAGCATCTGTTTGATATATCTACCAAGTTTTGTTGAACAATATTGAACGGTTCTTGAGTTATGCTCCGGAAACGAAGCCCACCCCTCCCTTTTGGGACTAAGTCTGAATCGTTTCCATGGAAACCAGGAAAAATAAAAATGCCAAAAATCTGTAAATAGCAAAAGGCACCACTTAAGGATCTGTTTGATATATCTACCAAGTATTGTTGAAAAATACTGAACGGTTCTTGAGTTATGCTCCGGAAACGAAGCCCACCCTTCTTTAAGACTAAGTCCAAAACGTTTCCATGGAAAGCGAGAAAAATAAAAATGACAATAATCTGTAAATAGCAAAAGGCACCACTTTAGGTTATGTTTGACATATCTACCAATTTTGGATGAAAAATATCGAACGGTCTTTGAGTTATGCTCCAGAAACAAAATGATTACGGACGGACGGACGGACGGACAGACGGACGAGGCGCAACGACTACATCCCACCGCATTACATGCCGGTGGGATAAAAAGATATGATAGACAATATACACTCTTGGTTTCACGACACAATCATCCAGGTGACTGTTGGCCATATACAATTACAAAACCAAACCCAGAACTCTAGGTCAGGATCTTCCCAGAAGAATAAGATAACGTATTCACGATTTTTCGCTTCAGTGTATTTCATTAAACCATGTACAGAGGAATATTCCTATATTCTAAGTAACACATTCTGTTCACAATTAGTTTTCTTCATTAGATTTACAAATCCACTTTTGTCCCCATGGTGACTGGTATTGCCTTTAGTTCAGTCCTCATACAAAGGAACTCTCCCAACACTGTCATAAGGGTTAGGCATACCAAGGTTGTCACCCACCACCAAAATGTCTGAGGGACATGACCACTGACAATCCAACATCCAATAAAATGCAATAGATGTACTGTTGCAGAAAAGTCCAGACACTGCTTTGTTCTCCTCACTACAAACCAGAGGCCAAGGGCACTGTAAAATAGAATAAATAACAAATAAGCATTATACTTACTTTCTATTTTTATGCATTACAGGCTTCCTTTCCATTACATTTCCTCGGTCATTCTTAAGTATTTATTTATGTCAATCAATCAATCTTTATTTACAGTACTGAAGAGGCCGTAGGCCTATAGTACATTTTACATACAGTAGCAGAGGGTGCAATATAAATGAATATATAAATGAATATTCCGCCCCTGGTCAGAAGACTGTGAGATAGGGTTGTGGCCAGGGCCGCGATAGTTTACGGGTGCTTCAAACAAGTATACCCCAGACTATTGATAACAATGAGGTACACTTTGTATTTTGGAATGTATGAGGTCTGATGACTAAGTTACAGGATCGTGACTTTATAGAATTCATATGTAAATGTGACATTATTGGATTGTCAGAATCTTGGTGTAAAGAGATTGATTTAACAACCATATTTCCAGATTTTATAGCTATAACAAAAAACGGAGATAGAATATCCAACTTTGGTCGCCTTTCAGGTGGGTTGCTACTTCTTATAAGGAAAAAGTTTGAGATTTTTGTAAAATGGACAAAAATCCTTAAAAGTGGAATATTTGTCCTGCTAGACAAAAGCATGTTCAATATAGATAAAGATGTAGTGTTCTCCTGTGTGTATATCCACCCAGAATCGTCAAACTGGTATAGTACGTTATCACCTGACTGTAGTAACGGTGTGTTATTGTTACAAGAGGAGTTACCAGATGTTCTCTCGTACTGCGACGAAGTCTATATTATGTTAGGTGGAGATTTTAATGCACGGACGGGTACTGAGCCAGATTTTGTTGAAGATGATATTCTCGAATATTTGGATAATGATAACTCTTCAGTGTATAATTTCCTACTCGACCGCTTCAAAATGGTACGAACTTCATCTGACAAAGTGTGAAACAACTTTGGAAAATGTTTGATCAATTTATGTAGTATCCTAAATATACATTTTCTGAATGGAAGATGTGGGTCAGACTCAGAAGTTGGTGACTGCACGTTTATTTCCAAGATATCTTCATGGATTAAACTTCTTTATAATTTCCCTCACCAGACCATTCCAGGTCCCTTCATCAGGTGAACTGACAGTTGGGGTTATGACGTTGTCACTATGATGTCATAACTGAGTTATGACGTCACAATGCAAGTGACATCACAGTACACAAGGGTGAGTACAGCATAAGTGAAGTTAAAGTGTTAATTACATAATGATGATAAATTCATGCTAGATAATAAAGTTGAAAGTTGAATTGTCCATTCACAATAGATTTGAAAGTTGAATTGTCAATTCACAATGACTGCTAATTACACAAAAGTTACTTGATAGCAGGCTTTCCAAAATGAATAGTAGGCTTTCTTTTCTATTTATCTAAAGTTCATCAAAAGTTAATCAATAGGTCCCACGCGCTTGGCAGATAGACACCTTGATCACGATTCATTGACGGTTTATGTCTCCTTATTTCCACTGCATCCTGTAGTTTCCTCCGACGCCAGTCGTTGTTATTGCTCGAAAGCACCCTGATGTCATCCCACATGATTACATGATTTGCCTTGTGCTCCGATATATTGGTAATCAAGGTGCAAGCGTCATAGATTACGTAATCTGTTCAGCGAGATTGTTTGAGGTATGCTGTAATTTGAACATAGTGTCACGCACTGAATCGTCACATCTCCCTGTCATGGCTAGCTTACGCACCTCTGTACAGAATGAGCCCGTGCAACCCCATAGAACAAGATTGCTTTCAAATTTGTTTGGGCCAACGATAAAACAGACCAGTTTATGTCAAACTTGTTGAGCAGCAACTGTGTTTCTTTATTAGAAAAAGCTGTCAATGAAGTGCTACACGATATAGACAAAAGTGTTAATTACATGTCAGAGGCCTTGTGCACGGCAGCAAGTGATATGAAAAGAGTGTGTTCTCCTGATATGTTTAGCCAACAGTGGTTTGACCATGAATGTGAGCTACTAAAAATAGAACGATGTAAATGTTTAAACAATTTTAGGAGAAAAAAGGATAATAACTCTTTACAGGAATACAATATTAGTAGAAATAAATATAACAGTGTATGCAGAGAAAAGAAAGCGAACTTTTTCAAAGGGAAGCAGGAAAAACTTGAACATTGTATACGCGATTCTAAGCAGTTTTGGGCCACTCTTAAACTTTAAAGGGCTGAATACTAATTGTTATTCACAAAACAATATACCAATCGAGGATTGGAACTATTTTCAACCTCGAGGAGAGTTTTTGTGCTACCTATGAATCGAATGAATTCGATAAGTCGTTTTGCCAGTTAACTTCAGAGATTCTTGATTCACCGAGTGTTTTCAGTAAGATCTTTACCAGTATTATATATAGACGTTTGGTATTTTGGGCCGATGCATTTGATAAGATAGATGAAGCACAAGCCGGTTTCAGGCACGGTTACTGTACAACTGATAATGTCTTACTTGAGCAGAAATATTTAGCCCGAAATGGAGAAAAAATGTATGCCATATTTGTAGATTTTGCTAAAGCGTTCGACTCCGTTAACAGAAACATGCTGTGGTCCCTTTGTAAATCTCAAGGTATCAGTACTAAAATTGGTAAATTATTATACTGCATATACCACAACGTGAAAGCTTGTGTTTGAAATAATAACAACCTATCTGATGCCTTCTGTTGTAACATTGGGGTAAGACAAGGATGTATACTCAGTCCATTTCTGTTTTCGTTCTTCATCAATGAACTATCGCTACAAATATATGAAAACTGTAACGGGGGCATCCAATTACATCCAGAAACTACAAAACTTTTTCTACTCCTTTTTGCTGATGATATTGTTATGTTCGCGAGCACAGTACCTGGACTTCAAAAGCTAATAAATCAACTTGAGTACTACTGTACACAATGGAAACTGAATGTCAATATCGATAAGACAAAGGTCATAGTTTTAAAAAATGGAGCGAAATTATCAAAACGGGAAAAATGGTTTTATAAAGGTGAAAGATTGGAGGTTGTAAGAAGTTACAAATATTTGGGTGTACTTTTTACAAATCGACTAACTTGGTCATTGCACTGCAACCATGCTGCACTACAGGCTAAAAAGATTTTGATAGGCATTTTAAGAACGATAAGACCGCTTCCAAATATTAGTTTTGACACTAAGATTAGTCCTATTCTATTCTATGGTGCAGAAGTATGGGGCCAAGAAATCTATGACACACTAGAAAAGGTACATCTATATGCGTGCAAAAGATTTTTAGGAGTAAACTCCAACACTCAGTGGTTTACACTGTCCTCAGCAACATACCAGCGATAGAGAGGTGACCTATAGCCAACAGAAATAAACGTACCATGTGAAGCTATTCAGAGCATATGCAATAAGATTCGTCCTTCCTGAATCCTCGTACAAGCCAAGATCCTGAGAATGAAACAAAACACATCCATCATAAAGTAACAAAATACTGTCACAGTGATGTAGCTCACTGTAATATATTGTCAACAAAGACAGATACTTTACATAAGTGGATGCAAGCTTTGATTTTCAGGTTTTTTTCTGAATACTAGTAAGTGTGTGGTCTTGTGCATAGGGTGAGGTCAGAAATCAGTTGAAGTCAAGCAGAGAGTACTTAGATGAGTGACCGTGTTTGGCAGCTTGACTCCTGAGAGTTTCTAGGACCTGTCCTGCCCCACAATGAAACACATGTAACGTCTCACCTGAGGCATGTGAGTTTGTTCAAAATTACCTCTGTTCACTCAGCAGAAAATGGGTACCCTGTGGGATGACTATTAACCTTCTGGCGTTACCCGGGGTAACATAATGTCCAGCATGTTGTATGCACTCAACATGCTCAAAATCCTAATGATTTCAACAAAATACTATTATCTAATAATAAGGAGAAACATATATGCATCAGTCTGGGAATTTCAGGGCCAAACATTGCTTTTTGAGAGAATAATTAAAATTAAGATTTTGAACATTTTCCATAAAACTTGTGTACAATACATCTTCCTGTTCTCTATTCAGTGTTGGTTCTGCTCACTTTCACACAATAATAAAAACAAACAAAACAAGATTATAAAACAAGGACAGAAAATTACTAATCGTATCTTAAGAGAGTAGATGAACTTCATGGAGGAAAGGCTCTAACTTTAGCTGCAAAAATTATTACTGATCCCTCTCGTGTTTTACATGAATGTTATGAAGTTTTACCCTCTGGTCGTCGGTATAACATACTGACGTGCAAATCCAAGCGTTATAAAATGTCTCCTGTACCATTATCAATTTCTTTGTTGAATAACCGTTAATGTTCTCAATTCTCATGCTTTTGTACATTTGTATGTAATTATGATCATGTTTTTATGTATTTATTTGATGTACATGTATTAATAGTCACTCAGACGTAAGACACATTCCCTCATAGGCAAGAGGTGAGGTGAGGTGAAATTGGGTTTAACGTCGTGCTTGAGAATATTTCGCTCATATCACGACGTGCATGCGTGTGTATGTGTATGTGCGGCTGCTTGTACTAGCCCAGACTTAAGCTGGTTTTATAGTGCTAGCTCACTGAGATACCATGCCGCAGTGAAGCATGAATACCCCACTCAGACACAGTATACTGACTCCGAGCCGACCAGTCCTTGTTTTTACCCTAATAATGCCGAGCGCCAGGCAGGGACCAACAAGTACCATATTTTAACGTCTTTTGGTATGACGCGGTCGGGGATCGAACCCGCGACCTTCCGCTCTCCGGGCGGACGCTCTAACCACTACACCACGGAGGCGGTCAATAGGCAAGAGAGAAATATCTTATCTTAAACATGTCCAAGTAAAAGCCAAACTGAAATCCATCATATCACCATAACAAGCCTGTGAAACCTCAGTATCAGTGGTTTCTGAAGAGGTAATGTTTCACAGTTCAAAGAAAAGAAGTATTTTGAGTAAAGTTAGAAACATGGTGCAAAAACAAAAGGCATAAGTTAAAATACAACACGTTGTAAACAAAAATGGCTGAGCAATGACCCTGATTTCTTTTTTTCCATAAAGGCTTCTGTGGTGAAAATTGATGTAGTTCATGAAACTGAGACAATTTTGTTTTCTTTCTACCCATTGTGTACCCTAACTATAGTCTGCCCTTTCTATCTACTATATTCCCTTCCAGGGCAATTTGCAATGCATGGACATGTCATTATGCTTTCTCCTCTGGGATGGTGGGATGGGGTGTCTTTGGATACCAACACTGATGCCTATTTGTATGTGGCTCGTACACCAGCCATGTTTGTTGTTAACATTGCAGTCAGGAAACACCGACAATTAAAAAAAGTCTGACCATCAAATCCATTAATATGCCCTCATGACAATAAACAAGGTTTGGTGGTAATGTGTTCTAAAGAGAAATCTCATCATGGGGAGCCCACATGCAAACACTTACACCTGTATAATTGCCTTTGAAATTCATTTTTCTTGATCCAAGTTACTGGATAATATCAAAGTGGGCCTTTAGACATATTTGTGATTTGCAATCAACTTTGGTAACTTCAACAGGTTTTTAGTCAAATATAGAATACAAAAAGTGTAAAGATTATTTTAATATTTTCAACTTTTCAATGGGGGTTGGGTTAATTCGTTGGTTTCACAATACTTTTCAATTCGCTGTGCACATGCGCAGAGCGTGCGAAAAATATCCACTGGCATGTTTCCGGTTTGGTTGTATGTTTATCGATAGTGTAAATGCACTCTAAATAAAAGGTGTTATGAAAATTATTTACGTTGTGACAACTGTTCATAGCTGAGTACATACTTCCATTTGCCTCTGCTTTTCAACAATTGATGTCCTATTTTGGTTACACATTCCATCAGAGATGTGTTTGTTTAGTTGTGAGAAGGGGATCTGCGGGAAGGACGATGGTGTTGAGATGTCTTTATACAAGAGCTTGTTAACATAAATAAAGCTATTTATTTAACTAATCCCAGCCTCTGTTTCATAAATCAATTGGGATCAGTTGTATTCGACATAAAACTATATATTTGATTTGATTTTTGTTTTCTTTGGAAAACTGCTCACAGCGAGTTGAAAATTAATGTGAAACCAACGAATTAAGAATTCAAATTGGTATTTTCAATTTGGATGAAATTCTGTCTTGAAGTGATATATTTTCACTCCGCATAAGAAAGTGGGGCTAAAATAGGGAAGACCACAGTGACGTCAGTGTTTTGATCAAGTGACGCGCCCGAGTACTTCCGGTAGGCAGAAGGTAAACATAAACATGAGAGAACCACACAAGCTGCACTCATTTGATCGTCGACTTTACATACGTAACAACGGTCTTCCCGGTCTGTTTTTTTGGCTTGACACTCAGTGCATCTTCAATCACCAGAATATTGTCCTTGTGATGACAGACACATAACAATATTATGTTATTGTTATGACATTTTATAATATCTCCCCGTGTTAGAACATTATTAAAAAATCATCGCCCGCGAGAACCATTACCACTTCGAATTTGTAAAAATAAAGATCTACGCACCGGCGGCAATATTGGGGGGACAAAATGTACAACGCAAGCAAAAAATGACAACTTCTGAAAACTTAATTCTATTATATATTTTGGATTTTACGGGAATTTGAATCAACTTAGAAAATGTATCAATGGTCGTTTTCCAACTCGTGCCTATTTTACCTCCATGAGTGCCATGCCGAACGTGCTTTCCTGCGAGTTTGGGCACGCCCTTACGCGTCACCCACGGCTGTCAACAATGTCAGTGTGGGAAGGTTTATCCAACAAAATCATTATAAACTCGATAAATATGATAATTTTGTTTAAAAGACAATACCATTTACCTAATCAGACCATGTAATTAATTCCAACGAAAACAGTTGGATCTGTCAAAAGGATGGCACATTTTTTGGTATCATGATGCATGTGGAGTTGTTTGTTTACCGCCGTTGCCATGATCGTTCCTATTTGTCCAATCGGTGATGTAACATTGAGATTGTTTTTGTTTCTAAATAATTAAACCGAAAGTTACTAATTTTTAGGAAATGGGAAACTTCAGTGTTTTCTCTTCACCAAAGAACAAAAATACTGATCAAATTATTAAAAAAAATATTTCATTATGTAGAAAATATTAGACAGGGTACCACTCGACGTGATGTGCCTGAAGTAAAAAATGGTCTTTATTTGCGGGTGTGTACCGAGCATTTTGGCGAACAAATCTTTAGTTTGTGGACGTTTCGTTTTAAGGTACATAAACTAATTGAAGATTATATATTTAGAAACCTGAGAATTAATTCATTCCATACATAATTCAAATGTTGAAATTCAAATCCGAAAGTTTTATTTGGGGATTTCATTATGCTGCTCTCCTGTCGAATGGGTTCGACAGTAGCAGTGAGAGGATTAAGTACATAATCCGATCATTGTTTGCTTTTTAGGTTACACCGGTTCTCATTGTTATCGTCAGCCATTGTTGCTTTCTGCCTACCGGAACACGAGTGAGCGTAGTTCGTGACGTCACTTCCGTAAACATATGGACTTTCCTATAGCTCAGATCTAAACAGCCAGTTTTTTAAAATTGGAAACTACCCGTTTATACATACAACTGGCACAAGCACGACATCGGGGCAAACAGGCTCTGTTCCAGTTCCAAACAATTTGCTTGTGTGTGTTGTGTTCTTATCACTATCAGTTCGCGTTCTTTTTTAGTCCCCAATCAATGTCACAACACACAATAAATCACTGTTTCATAAATTTACATCCAGACTTACACTCTGAGTAAATATCTGATCCACAGATGCATCAAAACGTCCAATCGTGTCCAATATGAAAATCCAAAATCCAAGATTTACATAATAAAAACACTGCATACACACTATCTGTGCAACAATCAACAGTGGATCCCAAACATTGCTTCGAAATTGACCTGGCATGCCGTTGACGCGACGCTTCAAAAGCTCGAACATCACACACTAGTCTTCTGGCCCTTATCGATCCCAATATAAAACATAGATACGTCCCAATGCAACATGAAATTTGCTGAGTTGCTGAGTTGGCGCTGCTGATGTTCACATCCCGGAAGTTACAAAAGGTTCTTCTCGTCTCTCCGTAAGCTGGTTCCGACTCCCTTTGCGCAGCGTCAACTTACTGCGGTATATTTGGAGACGGGACTCAGCTCAGTTTCCCTGAAGAACTGGGGTCTGTCTTTACTAATCACAAGTTCAAGTCGGAAGCCAGCTGAATCGTGTAGAACGTCTCTGTCAAACAAAACGGCCATATCAGAATAGATCCGCAAATTTGGTACACCGAGCCCTCCCACACACACTTTCGTTTTCATCAAATCGGACCTTATATAACGAAAGAAGGGTCATTTTAAAGTCAGAAAAATGCATTTTAAAATGGATTTTAATAAAAATACAACTCATTTGCTTCAGTTAGACAATGACAATGACAATACTTTATTACCCGTGAGGGAATTATTGTCATAAAATGGAGTTTATAAATGTGATTAAAAAGTATTTTCAGTAATGTTTGGACACGTTGAATACATCTAATTTCTAATAAAATTCAGGGGCCATTGGTGGCCCAATTGTCTAGGATGCCAGAATTGCGTCTTTGGATGCGTCAAAATCCTGTTATTGTGGGTTCAAAACCTGGTTTTCCCTGATTATGATTCAAGATTTAATTGTCAGCACCATTTGTGCCCGTGATATTCACCAAAGCAGTAAATGTCTGAAACGTGCATCACATCACGCTTTCCTCCCACGGAAAGCTGACATGCCAAGATAACTGGACCACTGTTAAAGCAGCAAGAAATCAAAATTCACTCACACTGCAATGTGCATAATATACACATGGAAAAAAAGTATTGCGACACCCCATATCGTTCATAGTAACAGTGTGTTACCATTAACTATATTGCAAAGGAATTTATCCAAACCACGGTTTTACTTAAAAACCTGGAGAAATTGACGCTCAAGGTATAATTAACGTCGTCACTATCGTCGTCATAGCCTCAACTGTCAGTTCGCCTGATGAAGGGACCTGGAATGGTCCCGAAACGTTGTGAGGGAAATAAAAAAAAAGTTTAATCCATAAATATATCTTGGACATCTATGTACAACTTCTAAATGCCACTGGAATCAATGTGATGAACTGGCCTCCCCATTCCACCAGGTTTGAACCCTGCTGAACATTTGTGGGGTGGATCTATGTTCTGGAGAGACTGTCAACTGTTGCAGAATTGACCTTGGCCTTGAGTGGGGGGACATTCCTATGGCGTGTATCCCTCGCTAGTGGTGGCATGAAACAGGCCCCTAAAGGTGCACCCATTCGGGACCCTATGTACTAATATAAGCCTGACTTGCAATGTTACACGTTTTCTGTCTGAGTATTCTCTTATATTAGTACATTGTAAATTCATCTGTCATTTAGGAACAACGTTACGCGTGACACATAGTTGTTTCTCTTTTTGTTTTCTTATACGCAAAAATCATTGATGCGTTTTGAAAGTGTGTTAGTATAGAATGTGCGCGTATGAACGTGAGGCGTAACTGTGCGTTTTTATACAAAAGAACTTGTCAGTTTTTACTGGTATCCTGTTCCTAACTTGCGCTCATTGACGTTGCGCAGTGTAAGCTGGAAGACAGGTTACCGAGGAAATCTCGTTGATTCTCGTGAGACTTCCACAGCCACCGGCAGGAGCAGTGCGAAAGGTTAGACATAATATAATGTAGAATATTACTACCCGACTTCTATTTCAGATTATTTGAATGACTCAATACAATTTAGATATAATAAACTGTGCGAATATTCGAAACATTTCAAGAAAGTTGCCTTACGATTGGATATTCGGGATTGTTTTCAACGTCCGCCCTTACGCGACAAGGTCATTCATTGCATGCATGTGCGTTCTTGATGATATGTCACCTTGATGTTAACACAGTACGGGCTTTGTAATGTTTTCAATGCGTCATCATCGACAAATACGTCTGTGGTCTTATTTAATCTGTTTTCTATCCACTTGTATCATTAAAGCTATGTATTGTAACCCATATTCGTATAGCCGGGAATTGTCACGTACTCCCACCTATGTGTCATGTGCGATAATTGTTTTTGCCACACTACTAGCCTCGGATGATTTCTTTTGGTAAGAGTTCCTTACGTACCCCCCACCTAATTTTTAACTATAAACTATAGACTAAACTATAGTGTTTGCTCATCACAAGAATAGGCGGGGGGTACGTAAGGAACACTTTCCTTTTTATCATGGGTTTAATGTTATACACTTGCTAAACACGTTCGAAATGATTCCATAATTGCAAAATGCAAGTTCGTGATGATTAGATGTTAATTTCTGTTACCTATCTCATGTATATTCATACACTTCTATCATCAGCATCTGGGTCTTGTGGGTTGTGGCAGTCGTTTTCACCAACATCTTGTTTTGTTCTACAGGGTTTTACCATGACTTACAAAAGTTGGAGTCCAGGGTGCCCCCATTCATAAATTTACATGTTCTTGATGGTTATTTGAGGGTTCTGTAAAGTATGTAAATGGTGTAGTGTATGTGCTGTTAGATAATTACCTCAGACCCTTCAATAAATCGCTGATGATGTGGACAGTGGTCATGACTGATGGATGAAATAACAGACACAGATAACTACTCTACTACTAATTAAAAAATTGGAATTATACAATTTATTGTGATACATATTGCAATCATGCATTGTGTAGTACAATATATTCTCATACATTTTTTAACCTCCCATACTCAAAGGAACTCCCTAATCCATTTTCGCTGTCTCCCCTCCGACAGGCCCACTGAAACACATTCCCTCTATATTATTTTGCATACTAGTGCTTGATGAAACACAATATATGTTAAAAAGTACATTTGCCTACAACTGATGGCATTGGCAAACTACTTTGTGCACCCCATGTAACAATGATATAGTATACTAGGCGTCATTAATAAAGGGTCAAATGATATATAGTACATGTAAAGAAAAGTTTCTCAGACATAATAGAACTAAGAGTGTTATCAGAATGTTTAATGTGATGACAAACGTGACACATCGTGATATGCAGACAAAAAGTTCGGACAGCAGTAGCAAACATCAGATGTATAGACCAACCCCCCAAAATGAAAATGACAAACATGAAGCACTCGGTCATTCAATATCTTGTGTACCCTCCTCACGCGTGCAAGACACAGGTGTACCCTGTTCTCGTGGTCCTTATCAAGTTCATAAAGAAAGCTTGCGGAATCACATTCCATTCCTCTACTAGAGCTCTGCGGAGTCCTGGGAGATCCACTGTTGCTGGGTGACGTGTGTACACACGTCGACCAAGTTCATCCCAGGCATGTTGGGTTGAGGTCTGGCAAGCATGCTGCCACTCCATCTGATTTACAGCCTTCTGCCCAAGGAATTCCATGACAGTCCTGACCCTATGAAGCCTAGCGTTGTCGTCTTGCAGTGAACAGGGTCTACCATAAAAGCCATGCATAGCTTGCAGGAATGGTACTGCTATAGGAGCCAGAATCTTGTCCCGATGACGCTGTCTGGTATCATTACCGTCGACCACATGCAGTGGAGTACGTGCAGTACGAGTTACTTATACTATTCTCTGCCCAAACCATGAACGACCTCCAGCCAAATCGGTTATGCGTGTCTACAGTTGCATCTGTGATTTGATCTCCATTGTGAAGATAAATCCTCTGCTGACCATCATGGAAGGACAAACTGAATCTGCTTTCATCTGTGAACACAAGACCATTGACATTGATTCCAGCGGCCATGGTGTACTCCATCCCTAACGCGCCTGCGACATGGTGTTAAGGGTGGACAAACTGCAGGTCGCCTGCAGCAGAGTCCGACTGTCTCATTTTAAGCTGCGATTTCAAACAGGTACCTGAACAGTGAACGACAGTGAAAAAGCATCAATGCATGTGTTTTGTCCTCCACTTTCCATGGATAGAGCGACTTTCATGACATTAAGTGGCAGGTGGATTGCCATATTGACAATTTGAATAAAGAAAGTGCCATTTGTAAGAGAATGTATCGGACATTAATGATCGTAATGATGACATTTCAGTGGCCTGATGTGTTTTTCCACACTGTTAAGAAAGTTTGTAAAACATTCAGTTGTATATATTTCTGACAAAAACAAGGATTTTACACCTTTTAAAGGAGAATACGAACGAAAACAAAACTTTTGATATATTGTAAAGGATATTCTAAAAGTCACATTCCGTGATTGAAATTGAACAAAAAGTTTGTAAAATAGCAATAAAAACACAAAAATGTACTCGTATTTCCACCTATTACGGAAACACCCGACAGTTAATGAGCAGAGGGGGTATCACGTGACATGACGTCATAAGTGCCTGTTGCTGATGGCTTTCTCTTTGATTTTACCTCACAACTTAACAGTGTCCGTGGATTCTGAAGCAGTAAAAGATGTTCCTGATGTCATTTCTGAAATGGATGTTAGACCGTATCAATACGATCCGATTTTATATCTCGCAAAACAATCTTCCACTGAAGATGAAGAAGAATCAAGCGAAACGGAAGCACAGCTTGAGGTCGAAATAAATTTAAAAATAGATTACTATTTGCCAGCAAAATGTCATACAGTTCCAGCCAGCAAACTCACCCCTATAAATATATGACCAGTCACTAAGAATTTAAAAAAATATATATGTGATTACAGTTCATTTTGTGTCAAATGGGTGACTGTAGGGTGTCTGGGATTTAAAAACAAAATAATTATGCTTCAGACGAGGGAAAATAAAAATTATCTGCTTCAAAAATTACACTGGAATTATTTTGTTGAAAAAAGTAAGGATCCTAGTTCTCATTAATAACGTATCAAGTCTCGATACAAGATCCCAGCCTGGTCAAGCAGCGATAATATTCGCGACGCAGATAAGTTATTCCCCGAAAACTGGTGAATTATAAAATACTACAACGTATGTTTCCCCATTGTTTGGTTATGGAAATAGTTATGGTACTCTGTCATAGCCTTAGAATGACATCTTGTCAGCCAATGAGAATACAGAACAACTTTCACGGCACACACTACTGACAAATAGCGAGTCTGATGCCGGCGTAATTGGACAAAATGGAAAAATATGAAAGCAACAAGTACTTCATGATTTGCCGTTTTATTTGGCAATGTTTCGAGTTGACTTCATCATTTGTTCCCCCTAGGATTCAGAAAGGGCAGGGTAAATTAAACAAAAAGGGCACTTCATAATCTAAAAGGGCACTTTGGTGAGGATTATTGAAAAAATAACAATAACAAAATGTATATGAAGTCAAATGCTCTTATAATTTTATTTCTAAAGTTCATTTATTACTCTTCTCATTTTGTATTTTAAGATCAAAATTTGGAAAAAAAGCATTTCAAGACATTAACCTGTTGTCACATTTGTTTACAATTTCACAAAACACGCAAACAACAATTTACAGTCTTCTTTTCTTTCTTGCCAAGCATCTGTTCACAACTTTTTCAAGTCAATGTCTGAAAACTGACGATGCATTCAGGCTAATCATGAGAAGTCCGTTGCAATTTTGAACACTGAGTCTGTTTCTATGATCTGTCACAATCAGTTTCACTTTTGAGAACACTCTCTCAACTTCAGAAGTGGACAATCACAGTTGCATGAATGGACAGTAATTGAACAATGTTTGATTCAAGTTTCCAAGTTGAGGCTTGAGTCTTCAAAATGGTGGAGGGTGAACTGGTGTCAAGCTCCTTTACTTGACTCCACTCAATCTGTGTTTGGTCGACATTAAGTCCATTTCTGCCCTTGGTGTTCCACTTAGAACATAATGAACAAAACATCATTCCCTTCTTTTGTCATCTTCTGAGTACCTCTAATTAGGACGGTTTTGTTGCCACTTTGTGTCAAATGCAGTCTTGTGACCACCATCTTTCTTCTGTGTTGGATTAACTGACTCTGTCTCGTGTGCCCTTGAATTTTCATAGGAAACTACCTCTGACTCGTCCGGGTCTGAAAAAAATAATACAAAGTTCATATACCATATTCAAAATATTCTTAGATATTAAATTTGCAATCATAATTATTAAAACAAAAATATCACACAATAATACACCTGAACGTAAGTATCTACTGTGGAGAGCCTCGACAAGGGTGTGGCTTCCCATTGTTTGAAATCGTAAAATAGTTTTACGCCTTCAAGACTTACATTTTTATGAAATCGACAGTAAACACTAAAAACAAGGCTACCAAGTGAAGCTGTTATGCAAGCTGTATTAACTATTTCATTTCCCAGGACAAACAACAAAATAATTCAAGATCAATTTCAAATTGCCGATGGATTCAAAATGGCGGACATTTTCGAAGTTTCAGATTTTCACCTAAACAGCACAGTCACATGAATATCGTCCCCCAAACGCATTCAAAATACATCCCATGTAGTTCACACATCGTTGTCTTTAATAAATGAAGGTCTTATTTGAAAGGCATGTGAAATTGAAAGGGAAATCAACGGCCTAAAAAAATCACTTAACTTAGAGGCACATACCTGTTAGGAGCTTAAGAAATCTATTAGTCGGCGACACTTCCTTGCTTCAACCTTCACCGCTTCTTCTTTCCATTTGATTCTTTCCTTGGTAGGCATTGTGATTTGTAAAGTTTAATTAAACACATTTGACTTCGCCATGGTTTAAATGCCAATTTCCTAATCATTATCAAAACAATTTGGTGTCTCCCCTTGAAAGGGAGAGAACTCCCGCCCTTAATAAAATACACACGGGTTGTTGAAAATACACACGGGTTGTTGTAAAATCAAGCACAGCTGGAAAAAAAAACTGGGATTGAGGTTGACAAAAAAGGGCAGGGCGAAACAAAAAGGGCAGGGCAGGGCTTAAAAATCAAAGGGCAGGGCGCAGCCTCCTAAATGTGCCTAGGGGAACACTATTCAGCGAAATATGCATAATGGCCGAAGCTGAGATTTACAGAAACTGTTTTCGCGATTAAAACATAATTATACATAATTTTGAATTGAAAATTTGGGAATATGTTTCTGATACCTTTATCTTTCACCCAGCAAATTATTGCAATTCACTCGTATTCTCCTTTAAGAAATAGTGTTACCAATAGCCTGACCCGTCATTAATGATGCCGAGCATATTATTTCAATATTTTGTGATTTGCCAGTGGTCACCTTCAGCATGAAATAGCCAGTCTGAATTTTATACGAAATGCAATAACATTTTCATATTTTGAAGCTATGATTGTACATGCACAATGTTAATAATGAGATTTTGTATGGGTTAGGAAGTTATTTTATTTTATTCAAATATTTGACATGGCATGTCAATCAATTGTAGGCTCTTGTAGGGGTATATGCAACATAATGATAAAGCAGAGCTCATGTGGGTACTGTACCCACTGTATTTTTTGGAGTGGGTATTATGAATGTTGAGTGGGTATTTCATTTTCCGTTACCCACTGCTTTCTAATATGTGCTTATTTCAGTCATTTTACTCGCCTAAGCATTATGTCATTGAGTAAGTTTACTAAGCAGGTATGCTCTGCCTTATGCCATACCTAATCAAAACCAAGTTAAATATAATGGAAATCACTCATCCTATACTGACAGTACAACACTTGCCCTATACTAACAGTACAACTTGATAGCAATCGATGTCATTTTCATTACGCAAGCGATTTTTATAAATATATTCCGTACGCATTTGGTTTAAACTTTTTGCGTATCTAACATTTTAAAGGCATAATTGGTACGCAACAATTATTTTTCAATGCGTAAATGGGAATTTTCTATGCATATTTTACCCGGATACACAGCTTATCTGGGCCTCTGATAAAGTAGTGTCAACAGTTTCAAAAATAGAAATTAGTTTCTAATGACAAGTTTTTGCCTATCTGACTAGGGTTCTTTTTCAATCACGTTTGTGTTCATTAAAATTACATGAGAATAAGCTTTAAGCTCATAATTAACTCTTGCAAGGTTTCAATACTTGACTTGCAAAGGTATATGAAAGTAGATTGGCAGTGGTAATGCAGAGAGAACTACTTTCAAAATATCATATGTTTTTACAGATGAGTGCTCAGCTTTTGAGAACAGTGGTACGAAGTGCCAGAGTGCCCCACCAGAGATCGATCTCCTCAACAGCAGTTAGAAGACAGGATGTTGCATTAGATCAAGCTCTGAAAGATAAAATTCATCCAAAAGTTGGTAAGTGGAACTCTGTGCCAAGTGTGTTATTGTTAATTTCCACATGTTTACATTTTTACTGTCAAAAATTCTTGGACAAATTCAAAGTGGATAGGATGCAAGCTGAGCAAGTTTTGTTGGGTTGTAATTATTTTAGATAGTGATACTCAAGCCGTCAGTGGGAGAAATAGCCTAACTATTGCTGGGTAGATGGGCTAGCTAGCCATACAAGTTTTTAGCTGTTTTTTAAGCTCAAAAGTTAACATAAATAGCAGATCATGACTCAAGTATTACAAATGGGGGATAAATATGACACCTTTGACTCATTATTTTTATGAATTTGTCTTTTTGTTGATCCAATTGATGGGAGAACTTTTTCATGTTTTGGTCAACTGGAACCTGTACATGAAAAGTAAAGTTTCACTTGCTAGTCAGGCTTGGGCCATTTCATATTAACTAGTCTGAACAAAATGTAACTAACCATAGGAAGGAGGACATTTAATACATTTTGAAGTCCCCTCAAATTTGGCTGTAATAGGAAGTATAAATAAGAAATATCAACTGAAAATAAAAAATGATTGCATATTTGTTGCGAATATCAATTCATATGTTCAATTTCAAAGAGTTAAAAAAAATCATAATGTTTATAAAAAGTATTTTAATGCCTACATGAAATGCTTTTTAATTGGCTTTGAGAACAAACATAATTAGGGGCATTGCCTAAAGGTACAGCAGTGCATTACAAAAGTTTTCATTGGCTAACATACTTCTTAGCGCCTATGCATATAATATATTGTGTATTATTTTTCACTCATTTCTGTTGATCCAACGAAAAAAGGGTACAGGGGTTGAAATAGCCCATTGCCCAACGTCCCAGTCCAGTGTTTTTATCTGTCGGGCAAGCAAATTTGTATATCATGCTGTACCAGTGTCCAGTTGACTTTCCAGTGTTAATTATGTTGTTTATTTTAAAAATCAACAAGAAAATTGGCTGGTATAGTGGAAAAATTATCAGGGCAAGTGATTTTACATGTGCAACTGTACAGGAGTACACTAGCAATTGTAAAGTTATTTCCACCCCCCTGGTACATGCATTGCTGAATATGAGAAATGTGAGGTTTGATCTTAATCTTAATCTTGTTATTAATTAACAGTTAACAATAGACCGATCCACAGGGGCTTGTAACGCTAAAAACTGCCATCAAGGTATATACTGTCACTGACAGGGTCTTAGTACTATATAAAAGGAAAGGGATGTAACGAAGTCAACACGCCAAGTTCGTTTCAGGTCAAATTCAGCAATGCTCACTGTATTTATCCCATATAAAGTTTGCACACATTTCAAGCCAATAGATTTACCTACAAAATGAGACATACAGCACAAAAAATTGAAGCAGTACTTTGGGAGCTAGGGTCTTCGGAAGCTCGAAAAATCGTGATTTCTCGATTCCGAGCCAAACTCCCTGCTCAGAATTTGTAGCCGTAACTCACCAATTTTCTTGTTTATTTCACACTATAAAAATACGACATTCACCAAATCATGTTGAACTGATGGCGCCTGTCAGTGCAGCTAGCCATCATTCTTTCAGAGACACTTACATCTCACTGTCATAATGAATTTAGGTACATTTATTCATCGCAAACAGAATTGTATCGTGCCTGTTCGCCATTGAAGACCTTGGCCTTTACCTGCCCCGTAGTGGTGGTCCGATTAATTGAAATAATCGAAGATTGGTCGCAGTGACTAAACGACCAAGCAATCGATCATGTTTTCTCATAATCGAACACAAACAGTTCTGGAACACTTGTCTTCATCAACAATATTTTTCACAAGGTTGGTTTTGTCTGTTACATTTCATAAGCACTACAAGCTTGTTCCAAGTCATCAATGAATTTATCTTAAAGACACCAAGATATTTATGTTCTTAACATACTAGTCATCCTTTAAAGATGTGAACTTTTGCCCCCAAACCCCCCCAAAATAATGACGTTTTTTCCTTATATTTTTGTGCATTAACAAATTTCATAAATGACGCTAACCAATTATTTTCGATGATTGATTGGTGGTAATGAACCAGTCATCAATTATGAGATTTTAACCAATTCCCAACACTACTGCCCCGCACTTATAAGTGCAAGGGAGCTCATTGGCTAAAAATAAAATATGTCCCATCAAATCGCTGACTTTATTCAGTGCGGGGCAGGTTAAGGCCAAGGTCGTCAATCGTGAACGGGTGCGAAGAAGAGGGAAACTGATCAGCTGCTGAATATTTGCTTCTGGGTATGTCCAGATACATCCTCAGAAATATACTGTTTACACAAGCCCAATCACCTTTTCCAGATTCACAATTAAGATCGAATAAATTATTCTGTGATTGATTTGTTTACAAGAATTATATTCAAACCGGGTGGGGTGGGTGTGTGTTTATCAGCCGGGACTGGTCGGTTGATAGTTATCTATTGGTAACCGTTATGGAACTTGTGGATGCTATTGCTCAAAGATAAAGGCTTGCAACACTAAAATACACAGCAGATATGGTTTTCTTTTCTATCTCAAAGGGGAGGTGGGGTAGCTCAGTGGTTAAAAGCGTTCGCTCGTCACACCAAAGACCCGGGTTTGATTCCCCACATGGGTACAATGTGTGAAGCCCATTTTCTGGTGTCCCCTGTCGTGATTTTGCTGGATTATTGCTAAAAGCGACGTAAAACCCAGCTCACTCACTCCTATCTCAACTTTACATAATTCAGTCACTGACTCAAATGTCTGTGTCAGAGTTTCTTTGTTTGTTGTCATCTCACGGGAAAAACTTTTCCCTGGATGCTGTAATCATCAGAGCCACAAACAAGCTCCACCTGAGCTTGTGCCCTTTTGGTTGGCAAGCTCTGGTTAGCAGGGATTGGGAAAGGCAGGGGCCATGGGCCTTTGCGCATTAGAATAGAAAATGGACCATTAAAGTTATGAAGTTTACTATTGATACAAGGGCATTGGCCCATTCTAAATTCAGAAAATGGCTAATAATCCTGAAAATGGCCCATTGTCAAAGTTCTCTATCCCAATCCCTGGGTTTAGCATTGCCGTATGGAGCTATCCAAAAGAAAAAAACTTCCAGTACAGCCATAACCTCATGATCTTCATCCAAGCCTGTTGCCTTTGTTTTGCAACATATTGAAGGAGTGTCCTATAGAATGTCTCTGTTATCTCCTTCAGGGATGCGTAAAAGGCGACTAACGGGATCGGGTGGTCAGGCTCGCTGACTTGGTTGACATATGTCATCGGTTCCCAATTGCGCAGATCGATGCTCATGATGTTGGTCGCTGGATTGTCTGGTCCAGACTCGATTGTTTACAGACCGCCGCCATATAGCTGGAATATTGCTGAGTGCGGCGTAAAACTCAACTCACTCACTCACTCCTTCAGGGATGCTATTCAAGTTTCGGTTGGGTGAGACACTGTGACAAAACATAACAGTGTTAACTTGGTTTATTGGTTTGAGCTTTGTGTATGATCACAAAGGGATGTTTATATTTCTATGTGCCAACACAGCCCACCTCACCTCTGATTCCAAGCAGATTTTGCGTTAAAAAGAGTATGACTAGATTGGGATTTCACTGGGCTTCCCAATTCACAGGGCTTCCCAGGAGTGTGCTGCACGCTCATGGAAGTGTCAATTCTGAATGGGTTGTTGTTTTGTGAGGTGTGTGAGGCTGGGAACACGAAGTGTACATGTTTCAAAGTTTATTGCCACTCTGTGAGCAGATAGCAAAAGTGCATTATGTGCGATACAATACATCTCAAAACGTCGCTTTTAGTAGAGATTCATCATTGCGGCAACTGATTAGCTATTTTCACTCAAAATGTACTGAACTGCTCAATTAGTCACTGGTATTTGGCTCTAACATTCTTTTTTATATATTCCTCCTTGGGGTACTTATAAGCATTTAAATGTCCATTTAAAATCCCTACGACAGTTGTAACAATATTTGAATAAAAAATATTTACAAAACAAAAACTACGTTTTGTCTTGTGAGACCACCCTTACAGGGCCCTCCGGCCCCCTACAGCCAAGAGCAGGTAACTCTAGACCATAACCTCGTACCTCACTTTCTATGCTGTCGTTTCACTGGCAAGACGTGGGTCCACTTCGAAGAAGTTTAATTTCCTAAGCGACTATGAGTATCTCAGAAACAGCTACTGTATGTATGGTTCTCTTTTTTCCCCGCGATTTGGAGACTTGTTCTGAGCTTTTTCATTCATCTTTTTTGGCTCGACGGGTGCGTGTCAAGATGGCGGACAGGTTCCTTTGCTAGCCTCACTGTTCATTGGCTTCCCATGTGGTTTTCAATGTTTCGTTGTGGTTATAGTGTTTATTATTTGTATGTTATTACATGTAGGGCGTTATTTCCGCTGCTAGCATTTTCTATCTTACGCTGAAGTCGTAATTGTTAGTTATGTTGCAGCGTGTCTTACTTGCTATTGTCAACTTCATGCTAACATTATCGCATTAGTTGTGGTCGCCCATGCGTGTTTTTCATATATTTATGTATGTATGAGGTAGGTTACTGCACAGGTTTTTTACTTGTTGCAGTTTAAATCCTGTACTTCGTGCCTCGCGGCTATACCCATGAGGGATACTCACAAGGTCTGTTTGCGATGTTTGATTGAGACTGATCACGATGAAACGGGTTGTCCTGCGTGTGCTATTTTCACACCTAAGTCCAGGCGGGTGGACAAGCTGTTCTACAGCAACTTGCTTCGGGCAGGGGTGATATCTGGGCTCAGGATCCCCCGTCCAAACGTTCTCACAGTTAAAAAAGGGGTCTTCGGGAGCCGCCTCCTCTACGGAATCGGCTCCCAAACGGGCGAAAGTTACCAAGGAGGCTTCATCTGCTGAGTCTGTAAATTCTCCTTCTGTATCTCCACCTGCCCCTGTACCTATCTCCAACTCACCCCCTGTTGCATCGGCACCCGTTGTCCCGTTTGAATCATTAACTGCTCTTTTTCAGGAACAGATGTCGTCTGT